TGAAAACGTTACATTTCCTTAAGACTACTCTCAGCTTTATTTGTGAAATTGATCTTTAAATGTAGCAATCTAGAATCCCATAATTTGCTGGTGTCTCCACCACAGATTTTTGAGCAGTTTAAAATCCACATTCTCTATAGGTGGCAGTGAGCTGCGGGGCGATTACTCAGCCCTCAAATCTCTCAGGGATGCCAGGGAAGCTAGGAGTTGAGAGCTGGCGGCTGAGCCTAAGATTCAAGACAGACCATGTGTCCATCTGGGAAAAGAGGAAGCGTGGGCAGGTAGTCCGTCTAGGCTGGGTCCACCCCCATCCCTGGCTGCAGGGAAGGGAGTCAGCTGGGCTGCTGCTTCCTGCTGACCCCATCCCTCCCCTTGCTTCTCCTCAGACTCAGTTCCCACAAACTCATACCGGACAGATAGTAGGTCAAATGGAAACAGTAGGGGAATGGAAGACAGGGGAAATCAGGGAGCTGCAGAGAAAGTGCTGAAGACGTCAGAGTACTCCCTAACCCAGTGGCTCAGGCACATGAGGAACCGACCAGGGCCAGGTGGACAAGAGCTGTAAAGACTGCAGTGAAAGGGACTGGGGATTTAGCTCAGCAACATAAGCACCTGCCTTCAAGCAGACAGTGTGAGTTCGATCCCTGGTACCGATAAAAAGGAAAAAGACAAAAAAAAAAAAAAGAAGAAAAAGACCAGAGAGAAGGATCCCACACACATTCAGTGGCAGTGATGGCCAGTGTGTCTAAATGTCCCCCCCAAACCTCACAAGGTCATAGGGGTTTTTTAAGAGGGACTGAATGTAGAGTGTGTGATTGATCTGTGGTATAATGCTGGAAGTAAGGGTGAGTGCTGGATCAGTCCACTGACTGGATTGGCACCACACTAATTCTGGCAGACTGGATACAATGTAAGGCACAGAAACAAAGAGGCTTGTCCTCCTCTCCCCTTGCTTGATTTTGCTGTCTTCTGCCACCATAAATAGTTTCTCCTCTGGAATGCCCCTCTGCCACACACCCACTTGATTATGGGCTGAAACCTCCATGAATTGTGAACTTTTGGTGTCAGGTATTTTGCCTTGGCAATGAAAGAAAAGTCTAAGATAGCAAGCCTGTTAGAGGTTTCAGTCATACAAACAGCCCACTACTGCATGTGTGCCACAGGTTTACCATCACTGGCTTAAAAGGGAAGTGGTCACAGCTGTTGTCACAGCTACTCAGGGGGTCGAGGTACGAGGATCAGGAGTTGAAGGCCAGTCTTAACAGCATAGACCTCCACCTCCAAAATAAAAAAGCGCTGGGAACGTAGCTCAGTGGTAGTGTTACAGGCAGCTGAGTTAGTTGGAAATATAGGCAGTTAGACAGGGCTGAGACTTCAAAGGAGCCAGTGCAGAAGTTCAGATACCTTGCAGCCTTTAAAGAAACAACCACCTCCTGCCATGGGCCAGATCTCCAAACAAAAGGCAAAGCAAATATACTGACATTCTAAGGATTGACAATCCAAATAGTTCTCTGTCAACTTGGGGAAGTCCGGAGTCAGCATCCTACCTGCCTATAGGAAGAATGTCTGCTGTTAAGCCTGCCCATTTGTTCCTGATTTACTCAATTTTACCTGAGCAATTAATCTTATTGGTTGAACACGGTTCTGTCCCGCCTTACACCCACCTTGCGAGTTCCCATTTTTCCCCACCTTTGACCTATCTAACTTCATGATTTTACTCTGTAGAAGTCCCTGAAAAAGACAGAGTCCCTGGCAACCCATTTGGGACCCATTCTTGTCTCTCTTTCAGACAGAAGCTTTCTTTCTCTCAATAAATATATTCTGCTCTTCACCTCCATTGCTCCTAAAATTCATTCTTCGATTTTAGAGAACACAAACTTGTACCCGACATATAGTAGGTCAGGAGTTTCATTCCCCTGTATCAGTAGAACAAAGGCTTAGCATGAGCCCTCCCCCCACAAAACAGTTCCTGGTTCCACTGTTCATCACACGGTTGCTCATAACTCGGGAATGTTGTGGCTGAGCTGAATGCAGCTCAAGGCCCACCAAGGAAAGCTTAAAAAGACCTGAAAGCATCAACTTCTTTCTAGGTAACTTATCTACATTTTAGAACAAAACGCAAACATATTATATACATCTCAAAATAAACTTCCCCATGTCTGGAATCCAATCAAAAAGAAGCAACATCTGGCATGGTGGCACATGCCTGCCATCCCAGCACCATGGAGGCTGAGGCAAAAGGACTGAAAGTTTGAGCCCAGGCCAGGCAGTGGGACCCTGTTTCAAAATAAAAAACAGAAAAAGGACTTGGAGAGGGGGTGTAGCTCAGGGTGAAGGCCCTGGGTTCAACCCCTAGTACTGTACCAAAAAAAAAAAAAAAAAAGGGAAGGGAGGAAGGGTGGGTGGGTGGGTGGGTGTGTGGGTGGGGACAGGGCAGGGCAGGGCAGTGCAGGACAGGGTTAGCAGGGTATCTTTGAATGGCTCTACCCACACGTTGTCTTCTCCCTTCTTTTGGGATGCAATATTATGCTTCCTTAAAAAAAAATTATGTTTCCTGTCGTCTACAACATAGCCTGTGACTTGTGACTGGCTGCACCATGAAACGCAACATCATAATTCGTCAGTTCCTAGGGAATCTTTCCCTCAGTGCAGTACCACGTGCCATGTCCTCCTCCTGCCTGAGCAGTCCTAGGAGATGTGTTCAGACAAACCCGTCCAGTCAGGGTCCCTGAGGCCCATGGTAAGCCACATCTCCCCGCCCAGAAATGCAGGAAAGCTAACAAAATGTTAGCACAAGTGTGCTAGGACAGCCCCATTCCTGTAGCTCATCCAACCTTTCGGGAATGAACAGTCCCTCACATGGTGGTGTTTCATAGCACATGGCATAGTGGCAGCCTCTGAGGTCTCTTCTGGCCTGAAAACAGGAACTCCCATCACATGGCACAGTGCCTGTGCGCTCACTGAGCTCACACTGTGAAGTTTCTGCAGAACTGTCCCCTTCTCCCAGCAACTTTCAGACATTTCTGACTCCTCAAGTGTCAGGGACAAGTCTCTTACCAGTCAGCTGAGGGTGCTTTTGCCCCATTCAAATTAACAGCATCTGCTCCCAGCAGACACCAAGCCTCATGACCCCTTTGTGACTGTCACCCTTCATTTACCTTAGACAAACCTCTAACAACCCTAGGCTTTAAGATACCTGCGTTGGCTCTGCCACAAACCTCCTCTGAAGAGAAAGAAAGTGGTGAAAGATAAATTAATTTTACAATACATTTTCTTCTTCATGATCAACAGCCCTCCTCAGAATCACAGGAGTCTCCAGGAATAGCTAGGGGAAACATATTTCTGCACAAACTCAAGTTACTAAGATACAGACTATTTCATGTGACATCCAAGAAGCCTGACTTCTTCAGATGCCTCCTCACGCACGTTATCTATTCTAAGTATGACAATGACTTTATCTCTGTGGTTGTTTTTTTTGGTTTTGTGTTTGTTTTCAAAACAAAGAATCTTCCAGGGTGACTTCTTTTCTCCCCAAACAGAAAACTGCTTGCAATTTTGAAATGACAACATACTTTTTTTTTTAATGACAACATGTTAACTCCTTCCACGCATGTAGGTTCCAGGAATCTCACAGCTTAGTTTCTGTCACTAACAAACTATCTCCACCAAGGGATTCTTTTGGGGCCATAGGAGCTTGTGGCAGTGATACAGGGGATGAAACTCCCCACCTACTATATGTCCGATACAAATTTGTGTTCTCTAAATCAGAGAATGAATGTTAGGAACAACAGAGGTTAAGAGCAGAATATATTTATTGAAAGAAAGAAAGCTTCTGTCTGACAGAGAGATAGAAGTGGTTCCAAGTGGCTAGCCAAGGACCCTGTTTTTTTTCTAGAGATTTTATAAAGAGATGGGTCCAAATGGGAAAAAGGCAAATGGGCATGAGGTGGGACAGAACCATGGTCAATCAATAAGTTTAATTGTTCAAGTAAAATTGACCAAATCAGGGACAAATGGGGAAGCAAGTCACATAATGAGCAGGAATTCTTACTGAACAGTGACTCTTCCTGTAGGGGGTTGGGATGGTGGTTCCATCCCTATTCAGAATATCAATCCCTGATGTTTATACTTAGGGTGTGTTTGCATTTGTTTTGCATTTTCTCCTGGGACTCAACCCAAAGAGGCAAGTATTTGTCTCCAGGGTCACAAGACATCTGGTCTCCTGTGCTGGCTCTCTAAAAGGCCTCTGGCCCTGTCTGACTGCCTATAACATTTCTATATAACTCAGCTGCCTATAAAAACAGGAAGAAATATTGGAGCTCAAGAACGAACAGGTCAAAAAAAAAAGAATGAACAGGTCTTCATGTGACAATGTCTTCTTCCCATTCTCAGACATTGTTTCATTTGTAAGACTCTTGGATGGAAAGCTCTTTACAGCACTCAAGAGCCTAAATCAAGCAGGGAGCAGAAAGCCCCACTGGAAAACAACAAAATATCTGAATCACAGAAGCATATTTGTATACAAAATAATGGTAGGTAATGAAAGCTCTCACATTTCAACACAGGTCTTTCTCTGTGACTTAGAAGCAAAAACATTTATTTGCTATTAGAATCAAAAGGAAGAGTGTACTACGGAGCCAATGACTAGGGAAGTCCGAAGCAATTCTGTCAGTGGAGCCTGACTGAGTACGGGAAAATGGAAGGGCAGGTCTTTTCCACACAGCCCAGGCCCTGGGGCTTTAGCCCAGGATGGTTTTAGGATGCTATTAAGATGGGTCTTAGGAGACTTGATGTGGCCCTGACCACGCCCAGATGGACCAAACTACCAATCAAAATTCAATTTCCAGTAAAAGGTTACCTCTGTGTTTCCCTAGGAAGGCGATTTTGAACTGCCTGGTTCCCAGAACCCAAACACTGGGACCGGACTTTGAGCCACGCCCCCGGGCCGGGCGCAGCTCCCAGAACGCACAGTACCCCACCCCCACAGCCCCGCGGTGCGGCTGCACGCGGCCTCGCTCCTCTGCGAGGGCAAACGGGTTGCCTCCGGCCGCGCCCCGCCATCCGTGGCAGCGACCCAACCCTTCGGGTAGCTGGCCCGGCTGGGGTCCGTAGTGAGGCTGACCGCGTCCTCCAGACCTCCAGGCCGCCTTCCCTGGTTCCCGGCCCCGCCCCCTTTCTGCGCGTGCGCAGAGCCGAGTCCCGCTGGGCCGCATCCTGTGGCCCGGCGCTCGCCCTGGCTCTGAGCCCGGTCCGCTGCTCGGTCCCCTGTGGGCTCCCACCGGACGGGACAGACCCGCCGAGACAGCAGGATGTCGCAGACGGCCATGTCCGAGACCTACGGTAGGGCCGGGAGCTGGAACGGGGTCGAGTCGGGCCGCGCTGGGCCTCGGAGTATCAGGGGCCAGGATCTCGATGGTCGGACGGCGCCGGGAGATGGGGTTCGGGGTCTGGTATTGGGAATCGCTGGAGTGTGGGGGATTCAGAGGTGTCGATATCTTAAGGTATCGGGAGCAGGGATCGCCTGGTGTCAGGGACCCGGATCAACCGTAGGTTTCGGGGGCGTGGGGTCCTAGCCGGGATCTGAGGGTGTCAGGGATGTCGGTGTCTGCGGTGACTGCTGGTTTTTTATATAGGGGTGTCAGGGTCTGAGGTGCCAGTACTCGGGTTCACGCCTGACCGTGCGCAGCGCTGACGACCTGCTTTTTCAAGTTTCCTCCTGCTTTTGCCTGGCATTTCTATCCTGGCGTTGTTTTCCTTTCTGGGTTTAGTTTAAATAGCTCAAGGTTGGGGAAGCCAGTACCAGATGTGGAGATGTGATTTCAATCGCAGTGGTCTCCGCGAGGGGGGAATAAGGCTTAGGGCCACCACTATTTCTGGGTACTTCTAGGTCGGTTGTTTGCTTTTTCCTGGTTTGGAATTCCTTTCATTGCACTAGGATCACAACGAGTTAATGGTAGATTAGCCCATCTCTTGCTCAGGAGACCTTTATGTTCTCTGTTGTTCACACTCTGATTTTAGCCTTTGATTGGTTGCATTATGACATATCTCTGATTTATGAACTTACACACCTTGGAAGACCTGCTTTATCTTTGTTTCCCCTGCAGTACCCAGACCTGGATGTGCAGGACAGATATTTGTTTGGATAAATGAAAGCTTTCCCAATGCATATATTGTATTGCTCTTTTCCCCACTGTGTGATAGTATTAGGATTGAGTGACATTTGCCAATCCCTCCCTAGTTAATCTTTCATTTGTGTACCCTCAGACAAAGATTCAGACTTGGGGTGTGATACTCCCAGAAAGAAGCAGCAGTCCAGCACGTGGAGCTCAGGCCATCTTGGCCTGCCTGCTGGCGGGGCATGTGCTGTCTGCTCCTACATGTCAGGCCAGTGCCCCCGAAAGGCTCTGAACCCTATAGAAACACCACAAACCCTTCCCTGGCCTTGTGGAGTTTACAGTCCAGCGAGGTATAGAGTGCTACTCTAGTTGTAATGAAAATTGAAAGGCCAAGCAAGATTTCTACAGGAATGTGGTCCGTACAAGTGTGTGATAAAGGAGACTCCAGGTAGACCCTGCCAGGGGAGTGGGAGGAAGCCACTGAGGAGCTATGGAGAGGATTAACCTTTGAGGGGATAGGAACTGTTAAGGGTGTTGTACAAGGTATATAGGATGCCTAACCCACCACCATGACTCTTGGTGACCCTAAGGCATGATGTCTGTCTCTAGAAGCCTAAGGAACCCTGCAGAGAGCTGCTGACTTCTCAGACCCCTGTTGTCAGAGTGCTAGGCATCCCCCAAGTCTCCACATGGTCTGGTTCTACAGAGAACCACAGTGGAACATGTCACCAGCAGAACAGGCAGGCCCTGTAGCCTGCTGCTTACCCTAGACTTTTTCTTTACCTGACCAGGAGCATGGGGGGTGAGGAAGGTGCGTGTCAGAGAACTGAAGAGCTCTGGGGACAAGGGTTTGTGCTATAAAGCAGTATTGCCTTGGCACCTGTACCTTACCACAGACACAGCTGAACTTGTAAGCATCACAGACTAGCTGTTGGAACTTGGGTCATAAGATTGTGGCTGTTGGCATTACCCTGGGTACTTTCCAAATATGTTTTTACTTTTACTATCAGAACTTCATTCTTTTTTCCAGCAGAGGAAATTTTAAAAACTAAAAGCTAAAAATAAATAAATACATACATACATACATATTAAGAGCAAGTGTAGCTGTTGATGTTGCCAATCCAAAGTAAAAAACTCACCCAAAACTGAGGCCTAAGCTGTTACCTTCATTTACCATTGGCTATATTTGCACAGCATTGTTCCCCAAAGCAGCAGTCAGGACTCCTCCCTGTAGACATTCTCCTTCTAGCTATGGAGGACTGTTTGCTTAACCTTGAGGTTTCTTTGTCCCCTGGCTCACATTCTCTCTCCTATGAAAGGAGGCTCTGTCACCTGATGGGATGTGATGGAGAATACCAGCCAGTGCCTTCAATGTGCTGCTGGTGAGCTGCATCCACTGCTCACTGGCCTGTGCCTCTGTCCATGGGCTGGCAGTGCGCCACATACTTCTGCTCTGAAACCACTAACCACCTGAAAACAGTACTTTATAATATAATAGAGAACTTACAGTGTAATACAAAATTAGAATGTTAAACTGATACAACAGTATCCGTATTGAAATCTTGGGTCTGAATGTCACTCATCTGAAACCATGCCATATTGAGTCCCATGTTCTCACAACCTGTTGGGTCAGCTTTGCCAGTGCATCCTGAGGGGCTGCACCTCAGGAACCTCAGGCCTAGGGAATCACCAGTCATCCTCATGTAGCTCCTGACACCAAGCAGTGACATCCAGAAAGGAGCTAAACTCTTATGTGATAGGGAATGGCAAGGCATTCTTCTAAAAATCAAAGAGCTAAGAAAGTTTGACAGTAGGGGAAAAAATCAAAGAGAAATCTCGACACCTTAGTTTATACATTTGGGAATGGTTTGGGAAACAGAAGAGTACCACTCTAATTGCTGATCACATGGTCATTTTTATTATGGTATATACCTCAGAATTTTCATTTATGCTTCATTTTGAGAACAAGTATTTTGGTAGTTGGTATAATTTTGAGAGTTATCAGGGTATTGTCTTTTAAATATGTAGTATCTTGTAGCATGTTAAGGGTTGAATTGTGTACTCTAAAAATTATTCAAATGCTAACCCCTGTGAATGCGACAGCATTTGGCAATAAGATCTTTGGAGATGTAATTAGCTTGGATGAGGTCACGCTAGATTAGGGCAGGCCCTAAATCAATGACTGGTGTCCTTATGAGATAAAGGAACCTCAAACAGACACATGCAGGGATAATGGGTTGTGATGATGGAGGCTGAGATTAGAATAACACAGCTGCCAGCCGAGAAGCCTAAGAATGACTGGCAGCTACCAGCAGTAGAAGGAGACAGGGAGGCTTTTTCTAGGAGCCTTCAGACAGAGCCTGACCCTTTCAAGCCTTGATTTCAGACTTCCAGCCTATACGGGAGTACACTTCTGCTCCCAGCCACCCATCTTATGTTCCTTTGTGATAGGACCCCCAGGGACTCCAAAGAGGGTGGCAATAGAAACATAATTTTTGAAATTTAGACTTGAGAGTGAGGAGGATATCTCAGGAAAGAAAATTAGAGTTAAGTCGCCTGCTGCCAATAAAGTGTATAATAAGTTGTCAGAAAAATCACTTAAGTACCATCATGTAGATAGCACAAATGACAAGACATGTTAACAGTGTCAACAAAGGAAGCATACAACATCAGGAAAAGGAATGTTTTTTAGATTGAATAAGTCTATGCTTGTAAAGGTCTGTGTTTCTCTTTTTCTCACTCACTGAAAATTGGTGACCACTTTGCGAACCAAAGTCTGGGAACCATGCATCAGTGCTTTACACACAGGGATGCTCCGAGGCCCCCATTCTGTCACCTAGGTCCTGGGGTGAGGGTGGATCTGAGTAGCTAGACACTGTACTATATTATAGCTTCTTGCCAGACAACTTTGAAAACCGGTTTGTGACCACTGTGACAGCCATTTGCACCATAAAGCATCCCAGTCCATTCCTGTGACTTCACCTCTGACACAAGGGTACTTTCTGAACTTACATTTCAAGTTTCATCATTCACTCAAACTAAGAATCTTATTTTTAACTCCCTCCCTACCCACTCTATCTTGGTGCCCTAAGGGATCTGAACACAGTGCGTCCCAAACCTTGTAGTCTCTCCTGCTTTTTCTTTTCTTTTTCAGTGTATGCATTTGCCTTGGAGAGAAAGGTAAAACCCATTTTAATTGTTCCTCTCCCTCATCTTCTAAGAGCTTGTTTGAAGGTTCTAGCAGGGGAGCGCAGCTACTTGTGTACCCTTGACTGAGGAATGGTCTTCCTCTATGGGAGCTAGTCGTCCTCTTCCGCTTAGCACACAGCTTTTGGAGGGACATGCATGGAGCGTTGAGGGAGGAAGGGGCCACCACGTAGCCAGCCAGATCACCCTTATATCCTCCTTCATCTCTTGTGTCCAGCTGGTTGCTAAGTCTTTTAAGGTGCCTTCTCAAGAGTTACTGTTTACCCTAGAAGAGAACAAGGAAAGTTAAACTGGCACCAGTTTCCTGGATCGTAAATCAGGAGAACAGGTTGCATTGCCCTTCTCCTTCAGTTCCTTGGCAGGTGTGGTTCTCTCCTCCTCAGGCCACTTCTGCAGGCCTGGTTCATAGGATGAGTAAGCTCCCTGGACCCAAAGAGGGGCGGTTTGGTCCAGTAGGACTAGAAAGGGGATTTGGTAAAATTTATTTTGAGATTCAGACTTCTAATAACTTAAAGTGTTGCCAGAAAGTCATAATTTATGTAAATGTTTCCAAAGATACCTGAGTTTCTGGGAAAACAATTTCATGGTAGCACATGTGAAATTACTTCTAGCTAAAATAATAGTATCTCTTCTGTTAAGTACTGTTTTGCCTTTTTTTTTTTTTGGCTTTAAGCATCTTGAAAACACTTTGTGTAGAATTATCCAAAACTCTTTCACAAGTCAGTATTCTACAGCTGGGTTATAACTTGGTGGTGGAGTACTTGAATGAGGCCTTAGCTTTGATCGCTGGCACTGAAAAAAATTACAAAATCACTTTTACCGTATATAATTTCAGGCAAGTGTATTGGTGATCCTTGCTCTGAATATTTGTTTAGGGTGAGAAGAAAGTTGGTGTCATTTCTTAAACTTCTGTTCTTTTTTTTTTTTTTTTTTGGTACCCGGGATCAAACTCACAACCTCATGATTGCCAGGCAGGTGCTTATGCTGCTGAGATAAATCACTGGCCTTGAATTTCTC